TATCTTTTCTTAATAAATGTGCTTGTGATATTTTACAAACATCTATAGAATATGTCATGTAACATATTCCTAATAAGTAAATAATTATGTAAGAATCATTAGAGGAGATATGAAGATGGGTAATGAAATTCACCTCCAGTCTATATGGAAATACAAGAAATACACTTCAAAGAAATGTTTGTGCCCTTCTTTCTGTTTAGCCTACCTTCTCCTTCATTTGGCTTTTGAAGACCTTTTCTAGAAACTTTTTCTTCTAGATGACACTCCTTGAGGTCAGAGTAACATCTTATTCTGACTTATGTTACCAGTATTTAGCATCCTACATGGGAAATAGTAAGCCCTCTTTAAATGTAGGCTATGTTTTTCTGTCTCTTTAATTTTACATGATTTGAGTACGTGAGTTTTATCATCTTAAGTTCATGTCAACCAGATAACAGAAAAATGAAGGAGTCTGACCCTCAGCATAGACTTTTATTAAACTATGTGGTTAATGCCAAGATGGAAGTATAGAGAGGGTTGTTATGGGCACATAGGGAAGGCACCTAACCCAGCCTGAGAATCCGAAGCTGAATCTGGAAGCCTGAGGAAGACTTAGTCAGGCAAATAAAATATAAAAGTATAAAGTAAAGGGGACTTCTTAAATACATGAGGTTTGTGTATACAACTTGGTGTATTTGGATACACTATTGAGGTGTTGCCTGACTGTAAAGTATGAAGGGGGGGAATGGCTGTCAGGAATTTCATAAGGGCCATTATGTGATATCCTGAGCAGCATGATGAGAAGAGTTTGAGTCAGGGAAGTGACACGTTCATATTCATATTTTAAGTAAATTAGGATAGCAGTGTGGAGGGTATATTTCAGTGTATCATCATTTAGGCGGAGATCTTTTGAGAAGCTATTTCTAAAATCCAGGCTAGAAGACATGGGGGGCTGTAAATAATGCCATTTTCAGAAATTGACCTGTTGAGCCAGGGAGATTACATAGTTTATCTGCAGTACAGTGTGCTTTTATTTATTCCTTTTAATTTTTAAAATTTACATTCTTATATCATTTGTATTTTTGTTATAAATATTTTTCTTTGATGCCAGTGTTTTTAAATGTTTTAAATTGCTGTATGATGGGGGGGAGGGGGGAATAGCATTAAGAGAAATACCTAATGTAGATGATGGGTTGATGAGTGCAGCAAACCACGACAGCATATGTACACCTGTGTAACAAACCTGCACGTTCTGCACATGCATCCCAGAACTTAAAGTATAATAAAAAGAAATTTAATAAAATTGCTGTATGCTATTTCAGCAAGTGGATTGTAGTTTAACGATTTCCTTATGCTAGGCATGTTTCAGTATTTAGAATTATTTCTTAATAAATTTCTAGTAGTGGGATTATAAGGTTAAAGGGTATGAATATGTTTAAAATTCTTAGAATATGCTACCACACTGCTTTCCAAAAAGATGAAAGTTTATACCTTTACCAACAATAAGTGAGCATATTTTTATAACTTCCTTGCCAGGATTATTGTTTTTAAAAGTCTTTTGATGATTAAATAGACAAATGAATTCTCACTTCCACTAGATGTTGATCATTTTCCCTGTATTATTCTTTTTTAAAATTTTACATTCATTTCTTCGAACTTTTGTGTTTTCCTTATCAAATTGCTTGAGCTTTTGATACAGGAAAAATATTAACCTCCCATTATGTTGACATCATATTTTTTCTAGACCATTTACCTTTTAATTTTTTTATCTAGATGCTTTTCAGTTTTATGTAACCTAACCAATTTTTCTGATTTCTTTTGTAGCTTTACACTTAGGATGACCTTCTCCTTCTACATAGTTGATAGTCATTTTTATTTTATGGTTTGATTTTTCTTAGTAACATGTTGGGTAATGGGAAGATTTAGATTTTTTCTTTTGCAAAATTACTAACCAATTGAGCCAACATCATTTGTTAAACAGCCCTTCCTTTTCCTGTAATGTGCCTTTAATGTGAAACTGCCTAAACTTTCATTTCTAGTCATTCTCGAATCATTTAATATATTTTCAGACCTTTTGAATCCACTAAAGTATTTTTTAATGTTGTTAGGAATATCAGTCTTCCCCAGAGCTAGATTTAAGCATTTTGAGTATCAAAATAATGTCTAAGTCACATTTTCTTTCATAAGAATCGAAGTTTATTCTTTAATGGCTATTAAATTTTTTTAACAATGAAACGTTTATTAACCCCTGTTAATATGATTCATAGTGGGGTATCCTAGTTTAATTCTTTTTTTCCAGGATAAAAACTGCAATTATGCAGTGAAAATGCTCAGAGCAAGGAAACCCCTAGGATATGGGGACCTGGTGGACCTTTTTCAGGTGTGTGAAAGTGCATCATTTGATCTCACAGTTATATAATTTGGAAATACAATATTTATCCAACACAGTGTTACAACACAAAGAGTTACACTTATTGAGGGACTTAGGTGGAAAATAAACTTTTTCTTTTATCCCTTTCCATAACCTATTTTTATGTTTTAATGAAAATAGAAACAAATAACTTTGATCAAAAAGAATCAGCTTTTTTTTTTTTTTTTCTGGAATGACATTCAAAATGGCTAAAGTAAAATGTCTTCTTTATATTGCTGTACAGCCTTTTCCTCAGTATGATTTCTAAAATCTCAGTCTGTAGGAAGGTATTTATGTAAAGCTATCATTAACAAACATATTATTAAAGTTATTGTGGAGAGTGGATATCTCTCACTTGAAAGAACAAGAATAATTTATACTTCTTTGGACTATTACCACTTTTTACAGAAGAAAAGGAAAAGCAATAACTTTTTTCCTTATTATTTTTCTCTTACTGAATTATGAACTCAATACAGTGGATATGTTTTTGTTTTTCAAAGTATACTTAAGAAGACTTAGAATAAATAGATTTTATTGTTTTGTTGATAATTTATTCTAGATAACATAGGAACTTCCTTTTTTATTATTCTCATATAAACTGGGAGGGAAAACATGAGAAATAGATGTTTGATTCCTTTGAATTTCATTAAAATAAATTTAAAAATTAATTTTTATTACTACCTTAAGTTTATCTCAGCTTGACACACCTGGTTGTAGCCAACATGTACACAGCATTTCACCATGACTTGCCTTATTTTGTTGATTTTAATATGCACAGTTTTTTCACCTTTTAACATCCCCTGATTGGTATGCATCTTGCAGTTGATGGCATCTTAGAATCATTGTGAGCCAGGTGATGTTGTAGTTATCTTTTTCAATATGTGCATGAACTTGTTCATAGTTCTTCATGTTATTATCACATCAGTTGAGTTGCATGCATTGTTGATACCACATATGTTGAATTGAATTGCTATTTAAAATGTCACCCTGGTTATTGAAAACTTTCTGTTAACATCTTATGGTAAGATCAAAAAAGCACCAGCATCAAAACATGCAGAATGGGTGCCATTGACTTAGAAGAAAATCTCAGAGACAATAGTGAAGTACTCTTTCAAGAAATAACGTGTTCATTCCTAGTGCTGTTGATGGCCCAGAGGATGAAATTGTGAAGAAGAATTCTAAGTGATTAGAAAGCATTGTGTTGTAGTTTAATTGGCACTGATTTTTTTTGTCTTGATATTATGAGTATGTCTTAAAATCATTGGCATCTTAGATAGACCCTATGAAAGTATATCTTCTTTTTTGTTTTTTATGAAAACAAGTTCATTTTCCTTTATTTGTCTGAAGACTTCAGGCAGACAACTTTAAAGTACAAATCACTGGGTCCTCTTTTAACTTCCATTATTGTCAGGGTGTACCATTCCTATGTACCATAAGGAATGGCAGCATAATATTGTAGGAAGAATAGTGAACCAGGAGTTAGAAGACATACGGTATTTTCAAATTCTGGCTTTACTACCTACTTACTGTATCAGTAGGGCCACATCAGGCCCTCTAAACTCTATAAGATTATTGTGATGCTGAAATGAGAAACATATTAATACATAAAAATTATAAATGTAACTTGGTTACTATTAAGAGCTTTTAATTTGCCTGAATAACATTTAATAAGGAGTGTTCAGCAGAGATAGGGGTTGCCTCATACTTCAGTGGTTCTGGCAGGATTAAATCTGGTAGGATATTTAATCATTTTATTGAAGCTTTAAGAGGAGCTTTATGGTCATCATCTTTTAATCATTCTTATCGTTATGGAAAATTTGTCTCTAGGTTTGAATCAAAACCTTTGTGTACAAGAAGGCAAGGGAATAAGGACAGGGAGCCCATTTGGGAACACTGTTCTTTGCCAGTTATATTTGCCATCTTTAGCTGTGCTAAATCAGTAATTTATGCTGGCATACTGAGGGACTTTGCAGAGCAGCCTGTAGGAAGTTGTAGTCTTAATTTACCATACCATAAAGAGAACTTTGGAAGAAGAAGGTGAGGATTTAAATGATAATGTTAACACTGGTTTTACATTTTTAATGGTGATTCTGGAAAACATTTTAAAACTTAGATTTATCTGTCGTTATTGCATGTCTTGCCTCAAAAAATAACTGATAGAGTTAGTTCTTTTAATAACAAATAATTGCGGCCCGGCACGGTGGCTCACGCCTGTAATCCCAGCACTTTGGGAGGCTGAGAGGGGTGGATCACGAGGTCAGGAGATCGCGACCATCCTGGCTAACACTGTGAAACCCCATCTCTACTAAACATACAAAAAAATTAGCCGGGCGTGGTAGCGGGCGCCTGTAGTCCCAGCTACTCGGGAGGCTGAGGCAGCAGAATGGTGTGAACCCTGGAGGCGGAGCTTGCAGTGAGCCGAGATCGAACCAGTGCACTCCAGCCTGGGGACAGAACAAGACTCCGTCTCAAATAAAAAAGAAAAAAACAAAACAAAACACAAACACCCGCGCGCGCGCGCGCGCACACACACACACACACACACACACACACACACACACACACACACACAGAATCGCTTATAAGTTTAATGTTCTCTTGACTTGGAATTCCGTGTCATTTATTCAAATTCTGTAAGGATGACAAACCTATCTTATCCATCTTTGTGTAGCCTTTCAGTAAATGTGTGTAGATTTAATTTCATTTGTAAATTTAATTATGTGTAATTCAGTTTGTACATTTTCTAACCTCTTACATTTTTATTGCCACTTAAAAACTTCTGAGTAAGCTGGCTCTTGGTAGAAGAAGTTAAATTAAGGTTTGGAATTATAGCATGTGCACCCAATTAATTTAAAGTGCTGTTTCAGTAATAAGAGGAGTAATGTTATTGTTTTTAATGAAATGTGTTTATTTCTTGAAGAAATTGGGGTGTTTAAATTCAAGGCATATAATATGCTAGGAAATTTCTAAATATTCATTTACAAGTATTGTGTGGATGATGTATGTACTATTTTTAATGATTCTATTTCAGGGTGGGAATTCTTATTTATGTTTTCCCTCCTGCAGTATGTGAAGAAATAGAGCGCTTTTTTGAGGTGGGAAAGAAGTTTTGAAAATCCATATCCTAATAGAGTTTGTAGCAGAAGATGGAGGAGAACCAAAGGACAGTGTTAGGAGAAAAGCATGGGAAAGCAGTAGTTAAGGCATATAGCTTAGATACAAAGTCTGGAGTGTTTATCCAAGGTATTTTAACTCCTGCTGTTTGATTTTTGTTTTGGTGTTTATTTTACATAACATGGTTGTAATTATATAAAAATGCATTCTTATAGATTAATTTTAATAATTTACTTTATATGTGTTCTAAATGAAGCGCTGAAAGAGAACAGCTCAGAGGTTGTACAGCCTTTTTTAATGGGTTGTGGAACCAAGGAACCGAAGATCACTCAGCTATGTTTGGCTGCTATTCAGAGACTCATGTCACATGAAGTCGTGTCTGAGGTAATATAAAGATTTTTATCTAAACTGCACCTAAGAGTTGAATAAAGAGTTTTCGTGAAAGGAGAATGAAACATACCTGATATTTAATATAAAACTATTTTATGAATAGCAATGTGCTTGGAGAAAATGCCTTTATTAAAAATATTGCCAAATTTTCTTCTCATTAAACACTCACAAGTATTTTTGCAAGTCATTTGTAATCTAAGAAGTCACAGTTCAGTAATATAAATGAAAATTTTGAGACTCAAGCAAGTTTTCAATTTTTAATTGGTTATTTAATTTTTCTTTATAAAGAGAGGAGGGAAGAGCATGACTCTCTTTCCTAGATTATATGGAGTAATAATTTGTTTTTCATTAACTTAAATGTTTGTATTTAACCTTATGTTGGAAAAATGAGAAAAAATATTTCTTAACTATGAATCTGCATGTTGGTCTCAAATTTAATGGTGTTATCTTAATTTTGTACTCCATAAGTACTATAATAGAAGTAATAAATGTTTTGCCATTAATGTATCATCTTAAACAATGTCAGATTTAATTGAGTGTGCCAATGTGTTGTTAATATGGGTTGCATTTTTTTTCTGTAACATACTATAAATGAAGTATTGTATCTGAAACAGCAGACTCATAGCTAATTTGCATATGTCCATATTATTCATGTCCAAATACAATCTATCAATGTTGTAGAAATGAGCTGTGATTTTGACTACGTATTACAAAACTGCTTGCTGCTATGTGTATATATTCAAATAGGATATTACAATTTTTGAGGGAGAGAATTAATTGATGGTAAGTCCTAAATTACTTGAGAGATGTGTTTGGATCTAGAGATCTAAAGATATGGTTTTTGTTATTGTGATCAAGAAATCCTCTTCAGGTGAGGTAGGTTTGTATACTTTTTCTTATTTAGGAACATCAGCATCTGTATTTTATTTGTTGACAATAATTAAAATAACTATTTTACAGACTGCAGCTGGAAATATAATTAACATGCTTTGGCAGCTAATGGAGAATAGTCTTGAAGAACTTAAGCTACTTCAAACAGTTCTTGTTCTTTTAACAACCAATACCGTAGTTCATGATGAGGCACTTTCTAAGGTAGGAAAACTGTTCGCCAGAGTTCATATGTGCTTTGAGACAGTATTTGAATAAGCTGGCTGAAAGAGAAAAGCTTGGTGCCGTTTGAACCAAAAGCAACTTCCCTACAGCTATTGTGGTAATTGACACTGCATGTTAATAACTGTTGGTACCTTATTTTTTCCAGGTTAGAGTTGAAATCAGGTTGGGGAGCTTAATCAAAGTCCCTTGGGTACAGCCAACAGGCTGAATAGTTACTAGGAAATGGAAAAAAGAGAGAAAGTAGCCCAAGAGTAAGAATAGGGAAGGAGGGAACTAAGGAAAAAAAACGTGTTGTGAGATCACGAGGTCAGGAGATTGCGACATCCTGGCTAACATGGTGAAACCCTGTCTTTACTAAAAATACAAAAAATTTGCCGGGCATGGTGGGCGCCTGTAGTTCCAGCTACTCAGGAGGCTGAGGCAGGAGAATGGTGTGAACTCAGGAGGCGGAGCTTGCAGTGAGCCAAGATCACGCCACTGCCCTCCAGCCCGGGCGAAGAGTGAGACTCTGTCTCAAAAATAAAAAAAGGATATTGCCTTGAGCATTTTAGATTCCTTGTGATAGCTCTCCCTACCCATAATTTCATATGTATATGATATGTAAACCAGACAGTTCAAATATGTTTCTTAAATGGCTAGACAAATCTCCTTTCACCATTTATACTAGATAAGATTGTATGTATGATAGCTATCTCTCATTTTGTCATCACTCCCACCCACTGTGGAACACGTAAGAGCCATTCTATTATTTATTTCACTTTTTAAAAAGTTTTTTATTATGAAATATTTCTAAGGAACAGAAAGTAGAGAGTAACATAGCAGTAAATGAATTATAGTCTAAGGAATTTTTTAGACTCTCAGTAACAGCTTTATTATAATTTGCATGACTTATAAAGAAGTACAGTGTACTGTCACATTAAGCTGTGTATACTATCTCAAGTGATGTTCTTAGATCATAATGAGATTTTAATTGCAAATAGTTTATTCTTTTAAGCTTACACAAGCTATATACAATATTGTATATATTTTTATATATCCTTTTGTTGTGTATAGTTCCTCTTGATTTCTAGCTGTCAAATTATTCTGATACATGTATTTAAAATTTTATTAAAGGTTTTCATTTGATCTACTAAAGAAATAAGAACTGATTATAGGATTTATTTTAGTATGTTGGTTAATTTGGAAATGCAATAATTGGGGATGAGAAAAATCAAGTATAAAGAAATAGTATAAAATTGAGTTAATATGAAGGCACCTATACAACTATGTAATGTGTCTTTCCTTTATGTTGAAATCTAAAGAGTAGCAGCAGTATCAGAGGCTTGTGTCTTTTAAAACTTTTAATATAATTAAGGTGATAGGCATTGATTCTAAAACTACCATTATGTTTTTCTCCAAGAATGGCTTCTTTTAAAACTAGAAAACTTTTGGAAGGATAAATAGGAGAAAATCTTTGTGATGTTGGGGTAGGCAAAGATTTATTAGGGCACAAAATCTAAAATCCTTGAGAAAGCCACAGAATGTGGGAAAATACAAATATCTGACAAAGGACTTGTATCTAGACTATATAAAGAACTCTTAAAATTCATTCATAACACAGACGACCCACACATTAAGTGTGGACAAATGGTTTCAACAGACACTTCATTAAAATAAAATATTCAAATGGGTGACAAACACATGAAAAGAAGTTTAGTGTTATTATTAGGGACACACAAAACCATAAGGAAATAGTATGCGTCCATTAGAATAGTTACAATGAAAAAAGACCACATCAAGTATTATGGAGAATGTAGGTTAGTTCTAAATTCACATACACTGCTGGCAGAAATGTAAAATTGTAAAACCACTGTGGGAAACTAGCGGTTTCTTTTTTTTCTTTCTTTCTTTTTTTTTTTTTTTGAGATAGAGTCTTGCTTTGTTGCCCAGGCTGGAGTGCAGTGGTGCGCTTTTGGCTCACTGCAACCTTCCACCTCCCAGGCTCAAGGGATTCTCATGCCTCAGGCTCCTAGGTAGCTGGGATTACAGGTGTGCACCACCACACCCAACTATTTTTTGTGTTTTCAGTAGAGACGGGGTTTCACCATGTTGGCCCGGCTGGTCATCAAATCCTGGCCTCAAGTGAACTGCCCACCCCAGCCTCCCAAAGTGCTGGGATTACAGGTGTGAGCCACCCAGTGCCCAGCCAACTGTTGGTTTCTTAAAAAGTTAAACCTATTCTTACCAGATGACCCATCCATTTCACTTCTAGATATTTACCCAAGATAAATGAAAACATATGTCCTCACAGTGGCTTACATATATGAATGTTCATAGCAGCTGGTTTTTTTTTTTTTTTTTAACAATAGTCAGAACCTGGAAGCTGCCCAAATGTTCACCAGCAGGTAAACAGATAAGCAAAATATGGTGTACTCATACCATGGAATACTCTTTGGTAATAAAAGGTACAAACTACTGATACATAGAACAAAGTGGATGAATTTCACAAATATTATTCTAAGTGGATGAAGCCAGGTCCAAATGAGCACATACTGAATTAATCTGTTCATATAAAAATCATAGAAAATGCCCATTGATCTGCAGTGAATAAAGCACATGAGTGCTTGCCTGGGGCCAAGTGTAGGGGAAGAGATGGGTGGCAAAGGAGCACAGGAGAACTTTTGGGGTGATGGAAATATTCCGTTTCTCAATTGTGGCCTTAGTTTCATGGGCCCACATGTTTGTCAGAACTCATCAAATTATATAATTTTAAGGGATTCTATAATTTATTGTATATAAATTACACCTCAGTAGGCTTGAGGTTTAAAAGAAAAAAATGACTCCTTTTAGAAGTTTCATAATTTTATTTATTTATATGCTTAGGTATAGCTTCTCCAGATGTTTAAGTGATACAACAAACTTTGAGTTCTTGTTATTTGCAAAGCAAGTCATTCTGGGGAAATAAAAGCATAACACATTAGTATATAGATGTTAAAAGAACCAAAGTTTAAAAGGTATGTTTCACATTACCATAGCTAATCTTCTGTGGTTATATATTTACTGAGAACTTGAATTACATCAAAATCTGAGGATTTTTATATTTTATTGTATAAGATGGTGGGACTTTTCATACTGGTTATTGAAACAACCAAACATTATTCAATTTGTGGTTACACCTGATAAAATAAAGATAATGGCCTTGCTTTTCAATCTTGTTTCACACTAAATGAAAATTGTGTTTTCAGGCAATTGTTCTTTGTTTTCGACTACACTTCACGAAAGATAATATTACAAATAATACAGCTGCTGCTACAGTGCGACAAGTTGTTACCGTTGTTTTTGAGAGGATGGTTGCTGAAGATGAACGACACAGAGGTAAAGTGCTAGAAGTTGTTTTACTTTGTGGGTGGTTCTTGGATGATTTCATTTTTATTAACTTTCAGCCTTTGCTGAAATGATCAACATTATTATGTCTATAATGGAAACTTAAAAAATAAATTCCTCACAATTTGATCACCCTAAGGAATAGGCTCTTTGTTTTCCTTGTTTATTTCTAGTATATGCATAATTTTGTATTAAATATAATTTCACGTTTTAAACCAAGTATTGCATTATATGTATTTTTTAACCAAACATTGCATTCTATGAATTTTTCATGTTATTGCTTCATCCTTATAATTTAAATTTTAATTATTGCATTATATTTTGTGGCCATTCTGTAATTTAACTGAACTAGTCTCCTATTGGACACTTGCGTTCTGTTCAGTATTTTATAACTGTTTTGGGTGGTTTCCTACATATCTTTTTGAATTATTTCTTCAGGATAAATTTCCAAGAGTGGGCTTCCCTCGTAAATATTTGTCTGTATCTGCTAACATGTGTTAAGAAAATTTAAATAATATAAAAATTAATTTTTGGCCGGGTGTGGTGGCTCATGCCTGTAATCCTAGCATTTTGGGAGGCCAAGGTGGGTGGATTGCCTGAGCTTAGGAGTTTGAGACTAGCCTGGGCAACACGGTAAAACCTCGTCTCTACTAAAATACAAAAAATCAGCTGGGTGTGGTGGAGTGCACCTGTAATCCCAGCTACTCCAGAGGCTGAGGCAGGAGAATCACTTGAACCTGAGAGGCAGGGTTGCAGTGAGCTGTGATTGCACCACTGCACTCCAGCCTGGGCAACAGAGCAAGACTCCGTCTCAAAAATAATAATAATAATTTTAAAATATTTTTTATCAAATACCTTTATAAGAATATTTCCACTTTGGTATATTGTTTTTTCTTTATTTTTTCTTGGGGAAAAATGCAGGTGGAATTCTAGTAGTTTGAAATATTAAGGAATTATAATGTGTCCCATTTGGTTAAAATATTCAAAATCATATTGTGATAACACAGGGCAGTTCCCCAGTTTGAATGATTATACATTCATAACCTCAATAAAATTCCCGCATTGGTAGTTTTAGTTGTGTGTCTCTAAGGCTAATCTGCCATTTAATACTTTATAGTAAGGTAGAAATACTTAGAACTTTTTTCTTTTCAGGTAGTCGTTAAGTCAATATTTATTCAAAACAGGCTGTCATAACTTACAGAGAATGATATTTTTTACTAGTAGTTAATTAAAGAAATACTGAGTTGGGAAACACCATCCTAGCTGATTCTTAGCTGGTGAATATCTGTAACTGACATGGTAATAGCAGCAGATCAAGCAGTAATTCTCTTGAAGATAGTGAAATGGTAGAGGAGTTAACCATATGGTAAACATTTATATGTCTGTTTGATATTTAAAAGCACATTTAAAGATCACGTGAATGTTAAATCCATGAAATAAAGGGGCTAAAGAATGGGAAACCAAATGTATGGACAAAAGTACCCAGCTTATTAGAGTGAATGTAAGGTAACAAAGAGTGATTTTTATGGTATTTGGTATAAAAATAGATTCCCTTTTTTTTTGTTTTGTTTTGGAGGCATATGTTAAAAATTGGAAATTTTAAATCTGAAATTATAATTACAATTTATAATTATATAAACATATTTATTTTAGACATTATCTTTTAAACAGAATATATAATTTATTAAAGGCTATTGTGAACTGCTAAAACCCATCCTGTTTTGATTGCAGATATTATAGAACAACCAATACTGGTACAAGGAAATAGTAACAGAAGATCTGTCAGTACCCTCAAACCTTGTGCTAAAGATGCATATATGCTTTTCCAGGTATTTTAGTTGATAACAATAATTTTTATTCTAAAATATAGTTTTGTGTGAATTTTTTAGTTGGGGATTTTATGTCTAATTTTTTTAATGTGAATTTTTTTGAAAATATGTCACAGGTAGTATTAAAATAGTTCTAAAGAACAACTTCTATATTTACTTTAACATGATAAAACAGTATGACTCACTTTAAGAAAATAAAATGAAATAAATGCAGAACTAGAAAACAGGTATATCAGAAACAACTAGTCATGCAAAAAAAGTTTCTTTAAACAAGGAAAATTTAAGTAATAAATTTGGTCTGTGTGATATAATTTGATACATAGATACGTGATTTTTACATCACTTGTCATGAATAAATTATTTTAGGTAAAACAAGATTAATCTGTACTGAAAATATTATTACTTTGCATTAAAAGCTTATTTTGTCATTTAAAGTATGTTAGATTAATCATTTATCTGTCTACTGTCTCTGTATTGTCAGTACAGAGTACTGTACAGTTGTACAAATTGTACTACTGTACAAATTGTCAGTACAGAGTAGTTATATGATTCTTTAAAAGTTTGCTTATATAATCTGTCAGTTACACAATTTGTCAAAATTGGAATTACCGGCGCTTAGTTTCTAAGGAGCAAAAACATGTATTACATAAGAAGATGGATTTTTTTTTTTTTTTTTTTTTAAGATTTATGAACTGTGAGTTTTGAAAAGCACATTTAATTCTAGCATGTGAAATTGTTGGATTTATTTTCCCAGGACCTTTGTCAGTTGGTTAATGCTGATGCTCCTTAT